CTCAAATCACCTTGTTTCTAACATGAGTAGCTTGTGTGGATGATAGATACTCAGCAGCAATACCTTTCTGTTTCAAATCCATCACTTGATTTTCCTTTAGCAAAGAGAAACAAAGAATGGTCCTTCAACATTCATCAACAAGAGAGCTTAAAAGAGAAGAACACCAACAAAGAAAAATACAATGCACTTACCATCAAAGCTGAGAAAAACGTCCACACAAGAGCACATTAGTTAGAGAAATCAATCAAAACTCACAGATTCCCTATTCATGGGAGAAAAAAAAACAGATTACCAATCAAAGGAGAAACAACAAGCACGATTCCAGGTTTAGCTAATGCAGGAATCTGATAACAAATCGATTTTCCTCCTCCCGTTGGCATCAAGCAAAAGCAATCCCTTCCTAATCTCAAATCAAACCAAAATATACAGAAGCGAAGAAATTTTCAAAAACCATTCCAAATTTCCCAAAAGAGTTAAGAGAAAACGAAAGGCCTACTTACCAGATACAACAGCTTCAATAGCTTCAAGTTGCTTCCCTCTGAAATCTGCATGACCGAAATGCCATCTCAAAAGCTTCACCAATGCTTCTTTTCCGGCAACATTCTTATCGGAGCGATGCGTATTCTGCACCGGCAACGGTGATTTCTTCATATCTCCGATCAAATCTTCACCGCCTCGTGGAAACTCGAAATTTTTGTCGACGCTTCCTCAAGACGCTGCGGAAAGTGAAGAAGACGATTCAGCAAACCAAAACGACGTCGTCCTCAAACCTGATTGACCTCAGCCTAACCGGACTAACCAATCCCGGTTCGGTAATCGAGATTTCTGGTTTACTAATTGGCAAATTTGTTTTGGCGGTAAACAAAAATGGCGCGTGTGTGGCATCTGTTGCGTCCTTTTAAGGTGTCATTAATGAACACCGCGTCGTTTAACTCGCGAGAAAACGACATGAAAACACAACACCAAGGAATGAAAACGCTTGACAAGCTTTGTGATGTAATTGTGATAGTGTTTGGCCAAAAGAAGGCAATACAATGTGAGTTAAGGAGGGTAATGTTTTTGTGTTTACTCTTTGAGATAAGAATTAAGAATGAATTGGCAAATAGAAAAACAAAGTGTGTTTCTAGATTGGGAGAATAAGAATGAAGTGGCAAATAGAATAACAAAGAAAAAAAAATTCTTTCCAAGATTATGTTATTAAGTTGTATTTTATTAGATTGTTCAAAATGGAGAGGTTGATAAACCGAGTGTATA